GGCCTCCACAGTTTCCGCACCCCCCACGCAGGCCCGGGTCTCTGCCCTCCAGGAGTGCGCGGGGACGTCTCCGCCCCCTATCCGGAGCAGAGGCTCGGCTGGTGCGGAGGTGTGACCATCGCCCCTCCTGCGGCCCCTGCCACCGCCCCAAGGGCAGGCGGTGGTCTAAATTTTAAGCCAAGATCCGGTCCTGTCGGGCCGTTTCCAGGAGGGCAGGTTCGGTGCCGCGGTCGGGATTCCGGCGCCAAGAAGAAGCCGAGCGAGAACCGCCTGCTCCTCGCGGCTCTGCCTCGCCGGTGGGGACCTCTAGGAAGGTGGCCAAGTCCAGGCTGCGCTCAAAGGCCTGGAATCCTGGGGCGACATCGCTTGACGCTATTCAGCTGCCATGCAGGACACTTTTCTCAACCCACGTGCATTTTCGTCCTCGGTTTTAGTTCAGACCTGGCCGAACCCCGCCCTCCCCTCGTTTCTGCCGCTCTCGTCCTTTCGCTGCGGGCTTGAGCGCCCGTAGCCAGTTTGGCCGGCAGGCTCTAGCCCCTACCGGGACGCCTGCACTCGGGGGCCCGAGCACCACGCGGGCGCAGAGGAGGTCAGCACTGTGACCATCGGTCTCCACCCCAGATTTACACTAACATTGGTGGATTCCCCGAGCACTACCGCGGGGTCTCTGGCCCCTGGCAGGACAGGGAGCGCAGGCACACACTGTGGGATCTAGGCTGCTGTGCGGTTCAAGGCCTGGCCCAGCGCGGTCACCGACGCCTTCAGGAGCCCAGCCACACCTGCCTAGTGGCCAGGGAGGGCCGCGGGCCTGGTGGGACCCAGGGATGGAGGTGGGGGTGGGTGCGGCGCGGTGTCTGAAGGGCACCTCCTTCCCAGGGACTGTTCCAGGAACTTGCTCTGGGCTGGGAGCACCCGTTCTCCGACTCTCTCTTCCCTGGAGAGCCCGGCCGCAGAGGCTGCCGCACGGAGGCCGATTGGTGTCTCAAGCCCGGGTGAAGGCTTGGACAGTGTGCGTTTGACTAGGACGCTCAGGCCCCGCAGGAAACACAGGATTGGAAGTTTTCGGGATCACTCCCCTGGGCCAGCCTCTTCCCCGGACACCCTCAGCCTGGGGGAAACCCCGGTGGCTGAGTCAAGCCGCTGCGGTACTCGACGTTAGGAGTTCGGCCTCGGAAGGCTTTCCCGCCTCAGTCACCGAGTTATGGTCAGGTCATAGGACAGGTCCCCCAGCATCCCCCCACCCCCGCCCCAGTTGCCTAAAAAGCATATCGCGATCGGTGGGGGAGATGAAGTTTTCCGGGAAGGATTGCAAGGAGGACACATTTCTATTGAGATGTAGTGTTTATTTAGTAAAAGAAAGAAAGAAAGAAAAACAAAAAAAGAAGAAGAAGAAGAAAGAAAAGAAAAGAAACAGTAGAACAAGCTCTTCTTTTCTTCCTCCTCCCATCTGAGTGAAACAGGCGATGATGCTGGGTCTGTAATCTATATTTTGTCAAGGGTATGAAATTCATTCCGAAGGAAAAGCTCGATCAATTTATTTTTGCTGCTTGCAATAACACAGCTGGATGATGCTTTGAGCTCATGCTAGACTGGGGCTCATCATTCATTCGCCAAGAACGGGCCTAAATGGTGCCTGTGGGATTAGGTCAATTTTAGTGGATCTACTTCGCCTCATTTGGTTACTAATTGGTTTCTTGTTTTATAAATCGAAATCTCATTTTCAGGAAATTACAAAACCCGTGCAGTCAGTCCATTGAGGTAATCCCTGGGTCAGGGGGTATTTAAATGGAAATGGCTCAACCGCGCACTGAGGGTAAAGCAACAGTGAAACTTGCCCGGGTTTCACATGAAATGTGAGCTAGTCCTTTAGATCCATAATAGATACATCCCTTCTAATGCTACTTATGTAAATATGATAAACCAGACTTTAAAGGAAGAGGGGGGCCTGGGAGAAGCAAAATTTATCTGCTAAGGTTAATGTGGCATATCTTGGAAATCTTCCAAAATAGATTATGTTTTCCTTTGTCTTCGGCCACTTTAGCTGGGGAAAATCCTTTTGTCTAAAACCCGATTTAGTTATCGCCTCCTTCGCGGAGCTCCTTTTCTCCTTTGCAAAACCCCGTTCCCTCGGCCTCACCGAATTACAAGTGAATCTTTAGATCTTGTTCCCACTGTAATCCCGCTGCAAAGGGAGCTGGTTTCCTCCTCATTTTAAACAGACAATCAAAGGATTTGCGAATTTTCTGCGGTAGGTCAAGTGCAGAAACGAAATCTCAGCTTACCCCCTTGCCAACTGAAATTAGGTGCTGGAGCGCGTCACCGAAGGCAGGAAGCGAGAGGGTCCGAGGAGAGGGGTCTCGTGCCCACTTCGAGACTTTCGGGAGGGGGAATTCCCTGACCTGGGCTTGGGAAAAGCACCCCGAAGAGCGAACTCAGCCTTGGTATTAGATCAGGAAAGTCTGACAGGTAAACAAACGAGGGCAACCAGTTTCTTGTAAAATATTAACTCAGACAACCGTGTGACGGAGATTCTGACGGGGAACATAAAGAGAAGGCAACTCTCCGTGAAAGCAAAAGTTTCCTTAAAAGGTGGGGTGTGGGGGGTGTAGGAGAAGGCCAGGGAGGCCCCTGTTAACCTGCGCCGAGACGGGCTGTTTATCATTAACCTGTGGGGAAGTCTTCGTTTCCCGAGTGGGCGCATACTTTAAAAGGTGGGGTGTGGGGGGTGTAGGAGAAGGCCAGGGAGGCCCCTGTTAACCTGCGCCGGGACGGGCTGTTTATCATTAACCTGTGGGGAAGTCTTCGTTTCCCGAGTGGGCGCATACCAATGAGGCCACAACCCGAGCCAAAAACCAGCCGAGACTGGCGCCCGGAGTTCGGAACCAATATTTAATCCCCAGCCCGGCCCTGGGAATTTTCTGATCATTCTGGTCGGGAAACCGCTCCGGGGCGTCTTCCAGCCGCTTTGGAAGACCTTCAGAATTTTAGATTGAAGACGTTTGTTGGCCCCAGGTGCAGGCCTCACATCCTTCTCGGAGCTGTGCAAGACACATCTCCTGGCACAACGCAGGCTCCACGGACCCGGGCGCGCCCGTGTGTCCCGGCTTTTCCTCCGCGAAGTTTTGGGGTTTCAGGCTTCGGCTGGGGTGCCTAAGGTCCGGCGCCACCTGCGTCCTGGGCTCTCCCAGCAGGGTCCTTTCCCTTTTCCCTGGTGTGGCCTCTAAAGCCAACCCCTCCCGCCACTTCTTCTGTGTGGGTACGTCTGAGAGGGAATTAAAAAAATGAGTATGTCGTGCCAGAAACCAAGGAGGATAGGTTGGCTGAGACAGGAGGAGCAAAGGGAAGGTGACAAGGCGAAGGGGTGTGTACAGGTGGCTGTGATGGGGGCTTGTCCACGAAGTACAGGAGGACCGCAAGGACCAGCGCACTGGAGTCACTCTGGGGAGAGAAACGGGGGCGGGCTAAAGAGTCAGGAGTGTTTGAATCGGTGCAAGAGAGGGAGAGGAGTCCAGGAGCGGGCGGGGAGCCTCAGTGTTTGCAGAGCTGTGGGGAAATCGTTAGATTTATTTAGATGTGCAAACACCCAGAAAGACGTGATTCGAGCTTAAGGGGCGCTCACAGTTACTCGTTGCCAGGATTTTTTGATAGCTTGCTTAGGAAGCAGTTCCTGTCCAACACCTTTTAAAAGTCCAACTCCACGTTTTATTTTGAAAGATTCGCTCCAACCCCCATAGTACAATGCGAATGTGTTTGTCATTGCATACTTTATGGTGATTTGCCCCTAAACGCAGTAAATCACCTTTGGGCGGGGGTGTTTGTCATTGCATACTTTATGGTGATTTGCCCCTAAACGCAGTAAATCACCTTTGGGCGGGGGGATGTCGCGTTAAACCTTGTTTAATGGTGTAGGAATAAAAGAAATTAACCACCTAGTTAAAATAATTTTAGCAGCCGTACTATTAAAAGATATTACCCATAAATAGTTTAACATAGGTTTCTGCAAGTTTCTTCTACCTTATTTTTCACTTTCTTTCTGCAAACAGGTATTATGGCAGTTTCGATAATAATTTTTAAAAACTCAGCCACGAGAGTCCTGAGCGTTTTATTTTTTAGACATCACAGGAGAAATGGTTTGGGGCAAAGCCTAGAAAGATCTTAACGTGGTAACATCAAAGAGAGGAAGAACCTGTCTTTGTTAATAGGAGATAGTACCTGGAAAGTAGAAAAATGATTCGCTGCGTCGAAAAGGGAACGAAAATATTGCTAAGAAGTTGTTAGCTTCAAAGTAACCCACTTCAGAAAAACCCATGCCAGGAGGGATAAGGTGTCTGTAAGGCGGAGGCGAGGAGGGGAAAGGAAGAGGAAAAAAGGATTGTGCAGAAATGCTGGTGAACTTCAGGCTGGAAGTCATCGGCAATCGGATTTTTTTTTTTTTTTTTTTTTTTTTTTTTTTGGAAAGGGATTAAAGTCAGGGGATGAGAATGGCTAGAGAGCCCCGCAGCCAATCAGAAAGGCCACCAGGGACTGACCTAGCCTGTCTTCTCAGGTCGCTCCAGGCGGGCAGCGGCGTTCGCAGGGTATGGGGGCATTCCTGGGCTCCTGTAAAGGATAATGAAAACTCTGAGCGAGAAATAATATGTTCTTCATCCCCGAAAACACAGTAGTGAAGCCACGCAAAAGTTATCACTGGGGTATGGTGTGTGTCGGGATTCCTCCAGGGCACAGGCCACTTCAGGTCCTGCTAGCAGGGCGCTTGGCCATGGCCCTGCCCTCACTGGGAAACCTTGTCTTACTCTGTTAAAAAGCTGAGAGGGAGGTATCGAAACTTACAAGCTCCCATCTCCAGCTGTCCAGGTTGGAGGGGACGGTGGGAGGAGCCCCTATGGTATCCGGTTCTGTGTGCGCGCACGCGCGCGCGCGTGACATAATCGCGGAACCAGTCCCAAACTGCCAGGTGGGTCGGGGTTCCGTCGCTAAAGGCTCTTTCTGTATCTACACAGGGCTTGGCGAGGCGTGGGGCCACTCGAGTCGAACAAGCCCCCTGGACAACGTCGGCCGCGAACTGGGCTCCCATTTGCTTCAGGTACAGGCGCAGGTCTCCCTGTGACGCATAGGCTTCGAGGGTCCGGGTGCCTGGCGCTGCGCGGGAGTTCTAGTTTCTCAGAAAAAAAAAAAAGGAATCCAGTCTGAACGTGGCCCTCTATCAGCCTAACAGCTCCTCCAGAGTTAAACTCTAGCTCTTAACTTCGCTGGGTGTCTTCGAGGCTGACAGGTAGGCAAGGTGACCACCCAGACGTTGGGTTCAGAAGGTAGGCCGACGCCGCCCAGACCCCATCAAGGGAAGGTGCACCACTTGTCACCATTCGGTGAGGGAGCTGGAGAGCCTGGGCGAGGCCGCCGAGGCAGGGCCGCAAAACCGTCAGAAATGAAGGATTTCCAAAGGAAATAACAGGAACGTGGTAGAAATGCCGGCCAGTGCTTTAAACCCACACGTTTCGGATCCAGCTGCGTTTGCAGCTCGTTTCATCTTTTCCCTGTAGTTGCCCAGCTGCCTTCTCTCTCCCTACGCGCCCTCACCCCAGGCCAGCCCCGGCAGTGCACAGACGCTCAATACACACATATCCTCTCCCCTCATCGCCCCCCCCCACCAGGTAATGAGTTTAACCAATGTGAGGCGCCCGTTACCTTGTTGTTTGCAGTGCACACCGTTTTAAATTGCCCATTGCCCGCTTAAGTCGCAGAACAAATATTTTAAATAGCAAAACTCCCGGTGGCATTTTTAGGTTTGACACTTGTCCCCTGTCTTGCACCCTCTTTATTACGCAAGTCCACCAGGACCTTTTTGCACGGGAGTCTTGCACCTAAGCAGCATCAGGAGAACCTAAGCTGGTTCTCCCACTAGGCAGGCATGAGTGCTATCTTTTGGCAAGAGCTCCACAGCCTTTCCTGTCAAACCGATATCCCATCCCTCTCTTCCTCCTAGGGACGAAGAAAGGTCTTAGATGAGCATTCCCTCTCTGATCTGGCCTCCACACCTCTGAATTTATCTAGAAAGGTGCTGTAACTTCCTTCTCTAAAACACATACTGAGACACGTGATAGATGTCTCTGTGTCCTTCCTCAATGTTTCTATATTCCCAACTAATTTCTCTCAGTAATATAAGCAAGATAACAAAATCCAAACAACCCCTCACCCTTTCTATCTCTTCCCTCTTCCTCATTCCAAATTTCTGACAGGACTCACATTTCTCAAGTTCAATGGCTTACCTCTCTCCCCATTCACTCCCATGTCCCTGCAGTCGGGCATCTCTCCCACCCACTGTGCTCTGCACAGGCTCCACTGCATTTTGATATCAAGTACCAGATACTGCTCTCTTATCCTATCTAAGCTCTTTCATTCCACAAATATAGGAGGGTCAACTGAATGCCAGACAGAAAGCCCTACCCTCACGGAGTTTGCATTCTAAGGAGAACAGCCTTATGAACTCACACATGTGCACTGCATAGTGTACCAGGTGGCGTAGGTGCGAGGGAGAAAAATATGGGGAAGGAGCAGGATTGTGTTTGAGTGATGGCATTTAAAATAGGGATGGTTGAAGAGGGCCTCACTGAGAAGTTCACAATGGGTAAAGACCTGAAGGAGGTGACACTGATGACTTGACATTCTCCCCCTTCCTCAGTTTCTAAAATAGCACTATGTCCCAGATTCTTCTTCCTCTCTGCCTGCTCCTCTTTGATTTTCCCACCACTGGCTGGCCTGCAAAAACTGTAATTTCCCCCAAAGTTCTAGCTCTGTTTCTCCTCACATACCCTCAAGGCCTCCTAGGTGATCTTAGCAACACCACTGCCTCTAGGCTTTTCTCCACATGACCCTAGCAAGTTTCTCCAGTCTAGATTCCTCTCCTGACCTCCAGACCTTTATTTTCTGCTGCTCAGCCAGGCATATGGAAATGGAAATCTTCATGCACCTGAAGTTTAGCATCTCCAAGACAAGAATGCATTTAATAGCTCCTGCCCCCAGACTTCCAATCATACAACATCTCACTATGCTTCCCTAAATTGTCAGTTTTGGATAACGGCGTCACCCTCTGCTCAATACCCTTACTGAAACCTTAAAGTCAGCCTTGACTTTTCTCTCTGCCAGCAATTAGTATGAAGTCCATAGCCAGAACCATCTTTGAATGAGACTCTCCCCCTTCTACATCTCCCCTGTGATCATTCAGTTTCAGGCTTGACCACCTGTGTTGCAGCTACCTGCTCTGATTTCTGCATCCCCATCTTCCTGTAGCCACTGTCCATACTCTGCCAGAAAACAAACAAACAAAAAAAAAAACCCAAACGTATCTAAGCATACTATTCTCCTGCTTAGAAACCTCTTTTAGAACCCTGCTGCCTACAGGAGCAACTCCAGATTCCGCAGGTTGATATTTCAAATTCTGAAAGTCCATTGCAGGTGTATTTCCTCAGCTCCATCTCTGGTACACTAGACTCATCACCTCGGAATATACCAGATACATACTACCCCTAGTCCCTGCCTTTGCCACATCATTTCTTCTGCCTGGGATGCTCTTCCTTCTTTTTCCAGTCCAAGCTTCCTCTTCAAGTTTCTGCTCAAAGACCAGCTCTTCTAAGGCCTTTTTGATTCTTCCCCAGGCCTCTGATCACTCAGCCTCTGTCCCCCGCCCACCTGTTCAGCACTGTGTATTCAGTTATGTGGTCATTATATCTATTTTCAGCCGGTCATCCTGCTGGACTTCCAGGTCCTTGAGAGCAGGGACTGACTCATCCTTATGTCTCTGTTGCCTGGACTGAGGGCTCATTCACAGAGATAAAGGGCCAGTCAGAGTCTAAGACTTTCTGTCATTGATGCATCAATGTAAACATACACACACATACACACTACAACACTACTCTATGGACTTGCTGCTCATAAAGCCTCTCATCTTCTAAATCCTTCTCTCCTGGACTCTTTCCAGAGCCACTGGCCGCTTCCTTCTGTCTACAAACTTCAGACCACCAGCCCTTTCATGTCAACCAGTACCTTCTACATTGGATCTTTCCCAAATTCTGCTATTACTCTTTCCTTTATAGGACACCACCACTATGGAATACCTGAAGACTGACACAGAAACCTCTGATTCTTTCAGTGACCATCACCCCAGGAACCTAACTCACCTCTTATCACAGGCTGTGATATTTCCCCCGCAGAATGTGTGTGTTACAGTTGTGTCTCCTTTGTCCATTTCATTAGACTTGAGTCTTGGAGGGCATTAGCCTTATGCAACACTTTTTCTGGATCTCTCCAAGTGTACTGCATGCCCCAGATGCTTATAAATTTGGAATAAACAAAAAAGGAGACTCTTGTGACTGATTTTCTATGCCCTGTTTCCTGCCAGCCCCTCTCCACTCCATCTCTCTGTCCTTCTGACCAAATGTCTCTGACTTCTGTACTCTCCCCACCCCAATTTCTCTAGATGGCCCAGAGGGCTCTCTGTTCACACTCTATTTCTGTCTCTCCAGACCCTAGATGGCTTCATCTTCGTGGTGGCCCCAGATGGGAAGATCATGTATATCTCAGAGACAGCCTCAGTCCACCTGGGTCTTTCTCAGGTAGGTGAGTGGTCCACACTTCCAGCCTGCAATGTTTATAGCTACAGCTGGAAGCAGGAGGTGGAGAGGAGGCTTTTCTGAAGATTTCATATCTGCATTTCTGGCTTGGAAATCTCTCAGCTAGCAAGAGGACTCTAAACAGGTTTGAATTTCCTCATTCTTCAACTTCCCTTATTCTTTCTTTAGCTTCCACTCCAGATCCAAACAATGGCTACTTTTTTGAGTCCTTACCATAAGCCAGATACGTGGCAGGAGGTTGCATATTTATCTTATGATGTCTTTACCAAAACATTGTCAGGGGCTACTACTACTACTATTGCTACTATTAGTATTTTCATAGACAAGGAAGCTGAGGCTTTGATAGGCTTACCATAAGCCAGATACGTGGCAGGAGGTTGCATATTTATCTTATGATGTCTTTACCAAAGCATTGTCAGGGGCTACTACTACTACTATTGCTACTATTAGTATTTTCATAGACAAGGAAGCTGAGGCTTTGATAGGCTACAATAGGCAAGTAGCAATCAGCGAGCTAGAATTAGAACTCAGGGCCAGTTCCAGAGTTCTGGCTTCTGTCCTCACAGTTTTGACCCCCACCCCCAACTTTAAGTCCCTTCAGGGGGCATTCCATCTCCACGGAGACGGTGATAGCCTCCTCTTTACAGGTAGAGCTGACCGGAAACAGCATTTATGAGTACATCCATCCCGCGGACCACGACGAGATGACGGCGGTGCTCACCGCCCATCAGCCCTACCACTCTCACTTCGTGCAGGGTAAGGCAGACACATGCCTGCGATGTCCAGGCCCATCACAGTCTGCTTGTGGTTGCCCCCAGTTAGTCGTGGCAGGGACCGGTCCTGCACCGACCATTTCACGTCTTGAGCCTCCTCCGCTCCTCTCTCCCTCAGAGTACGAGATCGAACGCTCCTTCTTCCTGAGGATGAAGTGCGTCTTGGCCAAGCGGAACGCAGGCCTCACCTGCGGCGGCTACAAGGTGTGTGGCTGAGCTGGAAAACGCACGACGCGTGGCAGCTGGGTGTAGTCGGAGGGGGCAGGACACAAGGCGCGTTAGGTGCGGAAGGGACGTTCCTGCAGCTGGGGCAGCACCCTAGTGCGCCCCCAGCATGTATCAAAGCGCCGAGGGCCCGGACACTCCACGAGAGTCACTGAACACCTGGGGACTTAGCGTGAAGTCCAAGTCTGGGTCGAGATACTGCGCACCACGGGAGCTCTTAACTGTGGCCCGTAGAGATGGGCCGTAAGGGTCCGTAAGGCCTCTGAAATGGCGGGTGACTTTGGTGGATTGTGAGTTTAGCCATAGAGTCAGAGTTTGACCCCCCAAAATTTTGGTTAAGAACCAGAGCTTTAGCTGGAAGCCGTGGTTCTCAAGTTGAATGTGATTGAATGTCATTAGAAAGCAGGTTCCAGGGCTCCACTTCGCTATTAGCTATTCGGATGCATTAATGCATTTAGTTGGTGCGGCCCAGGACTCTGCAGTTTTCACAAGCTCCCGGATGAGATCAGTGTGGTGTTGCAGTCACTCTCTTGTGACACCTTACAGCACCAATGACTTTGGACCCTTTAGTGCAAAGGCGTGGTCCACACGGTGTTTGTGGCCAAGTAGAGTTTCAACATGTTTCAACCCCTTCCCCACCTTCTGGGGGGCTCTTCCTGACTCTGGCTGAGTCTCGCCCCCTCCCCCTCCGCCGCAGGTCATTCATTGCAGCGGCTACCTGAAGATCCGCCAGTACAGCCTGGACATGTCCCCCTTTGACGGCTGCTACCAGAACGTGGGCCTAGTGGCCGTGGGTCACTCGCTGCCTCCCAGCGCCGTCACGGAGATCAAGCTACACAGCAACATGTTCATGTTCCGTGCCAGCCTGGACATGAAGCTCATCTTCCTGGACTCCAGGTGGGTAGGCAGGGCCGAAAAGGGCCAACCCTAGCATGAGAGCAGCCCTGCTCGGTGTCGGTGACAGTGAGGCAGTGAGTTTTTTTTTTTTTTTTTTTAATGAGTCTATTTTGCAGACGAGGTGATTGACTGGGCCCTGCGAAGTGAGGGCGGGCACCTAGGTGTGAGACACTGTTGGGAATGGGGGACACGCCCGACTCCTCTCCCCTTCCACCCCTCCTCCCCCCAAATTCATCCCGCGGGGATTGCTGTCCTCAGGGTGGCGGAGCTGACGGGGTATGAACCTCAGGACCTGATTGAGAAGACCCTGTACCACCACGTGCATGGCTGCGACACCTTCCACCTGCGCTGCGCTCACCACCTGCGTAAGGCGCCACCCTGCCCTGCACCCTGCCACCCTGGCGCGTCCCTGGGGCGGGGGCGGGGAAAGGGCGCTACTTGAGTTCACCCAAGCGCACAGATGGGAGCCCTCGCAGTCGGGTGATAGTGGTGGCGGTGTGTGAGGCCCGCGAGGGGCTTCTACAGCCCTGGGTCCCCCAGGTTTCTCTGACATTAGCGGGCTGCTAACACAGGTGGAGGGGGGCGTTTCTGGGCGAAATCTCAACAGGAGGGGTCTTATTCTCCTACTGATGTGCTTCCCCACATACAAACCTCACTAAAGTTGCGAAAACCCAAGGCTGGTCATCTCCGCTCACGCTCTCGACCCGCCTAGGTTTTTGATACATCTTGGCTTTGAGCTCAGTGGGAGCGTCAGAGTTCAAGCGAATCTGGGGGAAACTCCCAACTTTGTGTTATCCTCTTGGCTCAGGTGAAGACAGCGGTCCAGAGAGGGGCCTCTCCGTTAGCATCCCTGTAAGGGGGGACTCCACGCAGTTGAAAAAGACAATCAATTCTTTTGGGAATTTGCCTGTTGTCTCTCCCTCCCGCCTGGAGCAGTCGTTAGGGCCCACAGGGGGCCCGCACTCCCACCACCTGGGGTTGCGTTTGGGACCAGTCGGGGCAGGCTGGTTCACCACCCCTCTGCCTTCTGTCTCTCAATCAGTGCTGGTGAAGGGACAGGTGACCACCAAGTACTATAGGTTCCTGGCGAAGCACGGTGGCTGGGTATGGGTGCAGAGCTACGCGACCATTGTGCACAACAGTCGCTCTTCCAGGCCACACTGCATCGTCAGCGTCAACTACGTCCTCACGTGAGTGCAAGTCGGGGACCCCTTCGTCCACTCCAGGTGACCCTGGTCTTCGGGCGGGTGCGGTGGCGGGGCACGACCGGGTTAGACGAGGCTGAGGTCCCCTGGGGATGCCTGTTTGACCCCCGAGTGCTGGCTGCGCTGGGAGGAGGCAGGTCGAGCACTTTCATCTTTCTGGAGACTTCCTTCGTTATTTTCTAGAGAAAGATTTAGGAGTTTTTCCATCAAGGTCCGTATTTGCTTTCTTCTCTTTCTCGCTCTTAACCTTTTAAGCGAACTCTGCATTAAATAAAACTTAATGCAGCAGAAAGAGAAAAGAGAAAGAGAGAGGAAAGGATCCGACGTACGAGCCATTTATGGTTAACAAACAGGACATCTGTTTCACTTTTTCAGATCTGGAGTTTGAAGTTCTTAATTTTAACCAGAGTCTCCAGTCAAAGTTAGGAGTTCTGAGAGAGTGGTTCTTTCCCTGAACCACGAAGGGGGCTTAAGTGACCAGGAGGGCCTGACTTTAACCCCCAGAAAGCAAAGGGACTGGAGCTAACCCCACAAGTCTTGGCCGGCACCCAGGGTCCGGGCGTGGTGTGGAGTCGAGCTCCGGGTGCCACCTGCGGGCGTGACTTACAGGGAGGCTGCAGCAGCCACATTTGAGCCTTATTCTTTCTAGAAACGGTAATCGTTTCTGGTTGCCCGAGTGGCCCTGCGGGCTGATCACGTGGCCTGGTGTTCTGCTGGCGAAGAAAGCACGTTCTGTATAATGTTTGTGAAAGTCGAATTACTTAGGGTTGAAGCCTTTCTGAAGAACCCTTTTGTGTGCGCAGTTGCTGTGTTTTGTTTGTTTTGCTTTTGTTGTTGTTGTTGTTTTTCTTGTTGTTGGTACAGGTCGAAATTCTTGTGACTTTAGGGCACTTTAGGGGTTACTTACTTTGGAAGCATCGACACACCAGGCACTTAGTAGAAATGCTATTTTGACACTAGGAAGTTGGTTAAAGGGTCTTAATAGTCTATTTGGGATGAGACTATACTGTAGGCAATGAGGACTAGATTCATTTCACGTTGTTTTAAATTGCCAAATTAAAAATGTAGTAGTCGGAAATATTATGCTTGGCTGTATTTCTTCTGTGCCCTGTTTAATAAGAAAATTTAATTCAAGTCTTAGAAAATGAATTTGGTTTAGATGAGAATTCAGTATTCAAGAATAATAGCTGGTTATTAAGAAGAATCTTTTAACTTCTTTTGTTTGGTAAACAATGTTAAAATAAATATTAGATTTTTGTAATAGCAAGAAGGCCATGTATTTTAATACAGAGCAAAAATAAAAAAAAAAAAATAAAAGACTGACATTTTGGGTTTCGTAAAACAAAACCGTCTATTTTATGAATGCAGTTTTTCATATTATTAAAATAAACATAAGAGAAAATGGCAAAGCATAATTCATAAAATAAGCCACTTTGTGAAGCAGAAGTATTAAAAGGTGAAAAATTATGTCTGCTTACCATGGAAAAGAAATGGACATTCTTTAAGAAGGTGCTTTGTATGTCTGAGACATCACAAGCATTAAACATACATTCTGTTTTCTGGTGGGTGCCTGTGGTTAGTAATCATTTTTTATCAAACAGCAGGGTATATAGTCACACAGTCCCATATAAATGATCTGAATGCAAGTTAGACCTCCCAATGGGTAAACTTATTTTGTTTGGAGTCATTTTGAAATATTCTGTTTTGTTTTCCAGTGGATAACTGTACTTTCTTTCTTCTGTTGACTGTCATTTTTCACTTTACACAATTTTTCAGAGCTATAGAATTAGATGATCATTTTTACATTGGGTTAAAAAAGATGTAAATAAGGATAAATAAATTATTTATAAAAGGAAAAATAGCATGGCACACATTTTTCTGAACATGTTATGCCTCTGAATGAAAATAGAAATAAACACACAGAAGCGTGTATACACAGATACACAAGATGAAAAGCTGAAATTGATTACCCTTTTATGAGTCTCAGCTCCAGTTTCTTGTATAAAAACTCTTAGGACAGTTTTTATAGCTGCAAATGTGGAAACTGCTTTAGATGAAATGTCATCAGGTGGCTCTGTGTGTGTTGACAGGATTTTCATAATGAACAGGTTGCAGTTTGTTTGATGTGTATATCACATATCTGCCTGGAAGTTACTAATTTACATTGTCTTAGCAAATTAAATAGATGGCTATTGATTCTCTATGGTAGTAGTGAACCATCACATACAGAAGGCTACTTCTCTATGAAGACTGAGAATAAGTAAATTCTTTGCACATACACCACCTCAAACAATGTACTTAAAACCACAAGCTCCCCTCAAAATTGAAATACTAGATATTTTCCAAATTTAAACATTTTAATAGCTTACATATTGAAGAGATTTTCATGTTGTGAAAGTAGAGGGGATTTTTAAATAAGCATTGGTCAAATGAGGATGTGATGTTTTGGTGGAAGACACATTCATAAGAAGCTCATTTTTCTAATTTTCGTATGGTAAATTTATTGTTAAAGTTAAAATATGCCTGGAAACGTCAGTCACTATTACCTAACAAAAACAACAATGAATAGAAATATTCAGTAACCATGTTTTAATAAGCAGTTGCAATGGTGCATATAGGAAAACTGGATGAATTTAGAGGCAGGTGGTGTACGTCCTGGTGCTTTTTACTGGCTTTTGTATGACCACCACATGTTCTGAAAATTTGGAGAGTAGAAGACACTATGATAAAAATTCAAAAATTCTCTTAGTTTCTCTAGGTCTCTGAGGCTCAGTGAAGCTTCTACAGCTCTTCTCTAACCACCACTTCCCCCCACCAAACCAAACCAAACGAAACAAAAATCTGACCAACTCATGATTCTTGTTATAAGACATACATACCCTGATAGCTTTATTTCCTACATTCAGGAAATCTTTATAAATTATGAGTGCCCACAGGCTTTGAAATAAGTGTAAAATATGACAAGCCTTGCTCTCTGTTTACTGTCAAGAAGATAGGTGAATGGAGATGGTGTCTACTAACAGTGAATGCTGGGGAAAGTCCAGAAAGTGTGGAGAGTAAAGAGAAAGAAAACTGTGTAAGGTCCTGAGTGATTTCCTCGAATTCATATTTCCTCCAGTTTATGTTTAATTAGTTGTATTAATTATACATAGCCAGTTCAGATGGAAAGCATTAGTACTTAATGTGACAAAAATTGAAAGTGTGGAACATCCAATAAACCATTAAAAGTAATTTCTAGGAAAATGTAGAGTCTCAGTTCCCTTTACATTTTTAGACTTTATATTTTTTTAAAATAAGAAATATTCTGCCACTTTTAAGTATAAATTAATGAAGTGTAAAACTTTTAAACTATTATAATTTAAAACTATTTTAAAACATAAACTTTTCAAATATAAAAGTTGAAAGAATAGTAAATGAATATTCATGTACACATCATCTACTTGAATCTATATGATGTGTATATGAATATTCAACTGTTAACATTTTGCCATGTTGCTTTATGTCTCTCACTGCCTATATGTATGTCTATTTTTATGTATATATTTTTTCCTACTAAATTACTTCCAAGTAAGCTACACACATTATGGTACTTCATCCTTAAATAACATTCTCCTGCATAACCACTATGCCATTTATGATGGCACATTTTAAGTGTTCAGAATTACTGTGTGTAGAAGCTTGCAGAAATGCAGATGAGAGGTAGTTTGCTGATGCCATTAAAAACAATCTGCCACTAATATTCATCAAGTACTCATTGGTGTATGACCTCAGTTAGGTTGATTGATAGATGATATTTTGTAAGGGGACTTCTGTAGGAAGTAGTTCTAAATGTTAGTGTATTTTAAACTAGATTTCTATTAAGAATTGTACATTAACACAATTATGATATTGTGCCTGGAAAGTAAAAGAGATTAGATTTAGTGAGTGATATGGTAATTTTGGAATCAGACAAATTTAATATCTTCAACCATTTTTTGCTGGTGGAGAGGGCTTCTCTGTTTTCCTAAGTTTAGGATGGAACACTGCTTTCCTGGAAACTCTCACATGTTTTAGACTGATTCATTGAGCATAAAGAAGGAAGTAATTTCTGTGTTAAAATTTCCATTTCTGTGTTACTAAAAGCAGAACAAGTAGAAACAATTCACATTAGTGATGTGTATAACATTTGCTATTTACTAAATGCCTTTTTTGAGTTTGTAGAAAAGTGAGGGCAAATGCCAAAGGAGATATACTTCCTCCATGTCGAAGGGAAAAAAAGGGTCTCTACATTGTAATTTTTGCAGGTTTCATACTTTTTATTCTCATTTGCATACCATTGTGTGTTCTCACAATTGACCAATGTGAGGAACATTCTAATTCTCACAGATAAAAACAATTTTTAAATGTTAATGTATTCTGTGAATATAAAACCCTACATATCTTTACCATAAAGCAACAAACATTAAAATATGCTCACAATGGTTTGCTATTTGAAGTATATTAATGGTGCCAAGTTAATTTGGGTGTTCGAATTTTTAAAAAATTAAATTTATTTAAGGCCAGTGATATTATTATTGCTATGTATTTTAGAAAACGTTTTTTAAAAGCTTGACTGACAATAAGTGTAGTTATCAAATAGGTTTTATTTTCCTGGTTAGTAAATTACAAGTAATGTCAAGTGAAGCACCCATTGACTTAACAAGCTACAGCAAATATAAAATAATTTACTCCTGTACCTCAGATCTGTGGAGTACTTATTGCATAGATTTAATGCTTTTTATCATTCAAAATAATAATCATGCATTAATGTATACCCATAAATTAGATTTGATCCTTAATTGTGTTTAATCTTTATTATGATAATGCTGAATGTCAAAGTCCCAGTGGTCCTTTTCAAATGATATTTTTTATAACTTAATGATTGTACAAACAAATTGAAGACATATTTGTATTAATAATAATTTTTTAACTGCCAAAACATTTTATTAAAAGGAAGAGCTGGAAGA